CACTGACCTGCCACTGCCCAGGATGTACACAAAATTGAAAAGTAAAAATAAAACTTAAGAAAGGAAATCAATAGGTATCTATTAGAAAACAATTCTGCTTGGTCACATTAGTTTTTTTCTTTAAAATTTTACTTTCTTAAGTTATGTTTATTTTTGGTTTTTTTTCTTCTTTTTCTTTTTTCTTTGAGTTTTCCTGGTTAATTATTTATCTTGTTCTCTATATCTATTTTTTTAAAAGTCAGTTCTTTGAGAATTTTATGTGCATTGTGCTCAGACTTACGCTCACCTCTTCTCAGACCCATTCCCCTTTCCTCCCCATCCAACTTTGCATTCTAAAAAAGTAACCAAACCAATCAACCTGGCAACTAAACAAATAAGCAAACAAAAAAACTCTCATGATCAATTTGCGCTGCCAAAATAAACTTGGATGTGTGGACTTCCACTGGAGTGTAGTCAGCATATAAAGGGATACACACTTAGAAGAAACTGTCACACGCACTTCTAACACTAACAATTAACATGTATTCTGTGCCTCGGGTAGGAACATATGAGTATCTGCCTGCAAGGACTTCCTATGTTGTTTCAACAGGTGATAAGTGGAGGGACTGGCTGTCTTTCATTCCACATTTATTCAAGAAGTTTTTATAATGAACAGTTTCAGTGTGTAGAGACAGTAGCTCCCTGAAAGGAAATATGACACATGTCTAAGGAAATAAACAGCCAACCTTCTTCTTGTTAAAGAGGCAGTTATGGTTACTGTCCATTGCACACAATATGGGTTCACAATACTCAAAGTTTTTCTGTTTTTACCCAACCTACTGAATGTTCACGTGCCATTGAATTATTTCACTTCGTGTTCTGGAAATGAGAAACGCAGAAACCAATGCATAAGTGACCTTATTCTGGCCACAGATATTGTCATGAGTAACAAACTCTCACTTGTCCCCTAATCCAGAGGATTCATCAGAGTTTCTACAAAACATTGCAAGCTCATTTACTACTTTGCAAGTAAGATTAAAATTTCAGATCTTCCATATTCTTGACAGTTATTGGCAGAAAATTCAGGAGGAGGAAGAATGGAGAGTTGAGGTGGAATGGGAGTATTAGGTGCTAGTTCTTTCCTTCCTTTCTTATTTTCTTCCTTCCTTTTCTTTTTGAAACAGGGTCTCTTTACAAAGCTGTGGCTGTTCTAGAACTCACTATGTAGTTCTAGAACATAGAGTTTGAGGCTGGACTCAAACTCACAGAGATCTGTCTCTGCTTTCTGAGAACTGAGTTAAAGTTGTGAGAAAATATGCTCTAATTTTTTTCATTTAACAATATTTTTTCATTGCTATTGTATATGTTTATCAGGTTAGGCATATATAATATATTATAATATAATATATAATATTAAATCATATATATCTCTCTCATACACATACATATATATTCTCAAACACTTAGCATTCCTTTTTTAAAATTATTTTTATTGAGCTATATATTTTTCTCTGTTCCCCTCCCTTTCTCTCCCCTCCCTTACTGCCCTCTCCCATAATCCCCATGCTCCCAATTTACTCAGGAGACCTTGTCTTTTTCTGTTTCCCATGTAGATTATATTCATGTATGTCTCTCTTAGGATCCTCATTGTTGTCTAGGTTCTCTGGGTTTGTGAATTGTAGGCTGGTTTTTCCTTGCTTTATGTCTATAAGCCACATATGAGTTAGTACATATTATATTTTTCTTTCTGGGTCTGAGTTATCTTATTCAGTATGATGTTTTCTAGCTCTGTCCATTTGCCCACAAATTTCAAGATATAATTTTTTTTCTGCTGTATAGTACTTCACTGGGCAAATACACCACATTTTCCTTATCCATTCTTTGGTTTAGGGGCATTTAGGTTGTTTTCAGGTTCTGGCTTTGACAAATAATGCTACTGTGAACATAGTTGAGCACATGTCCTTGTGGCATGATTGAGCATCCTTTGGGTATATACCCAAAAGTGGTATTGCTGGGTCTTGAGAAAGGTTGTTTCCTAATTTTCTGAGAAATCACCATGCTGACTTCCAAAGTAGCTCTACTCGTTTGCACTCCCACCAGCAATGCAGAAATGTTCCCTTTACCCCACAACCTCTCCAGCTTTAGTTGTCATCAGTGTTTTTGATCTTGGCCATTCTTACAGGTGTAAGATTGAATCTCAGAGTTGTTTTGATTTTCATTTTTCTGGTGGCTAAGGATATTGAGAATTGTCTTAAATGTCTTTCAGTCATTTTAGATTCATCTGTTGAAAATTCTCTGTTTAGGACTGTACCCCATATTTATTGGATTAGTTATTCTTTTGATGACCAATTTCTTGATTTCTTTGTATATTTTGGAGATCAGCCCTCTGTCCAATGTGAAGTTTGTGAAGATCTTTTCCCATTCTGTAGACTGCCGTTTGGTTTTGTTGACCATGTCCATTGCTTTAAAGAAGCGTTTCAGTTTCAGGAGTTCCCATTTATTAATTGTTTCTCTCAGTGTCTGTGCTATTGGGGTTATATTTAGGAAGTGTTCTCCTGTGCCAATACATTCAAGTTAATACAATATTTTTTATTAATTATTTAGGAGTGTCACAATGAATATTATGTACTGTGATAATATTTATTCCACTTCCAGTAACTCCTCCTATATGTATCCCAACCCCTCCCAACTTGCTCATGTAGCCCGGCTACATGTCCATCAGTTGATGAGTGGATAATGAAAATGTGTCACATTTACACAATGGAGTATTATCCAACTGTTAAGAAAATTTGAAGCAGGGCGGTGGTGGCGCACGCCTTTAATCCCAGCACTGGGGTGGGGGGGAACAGAGGCAGGCGGATCTCTGTGAATTCCAGACCAGCCTGGTCTACAGAGCTAGTTCCAGGACAGGCTCCAAAGCCACAGAGAAACCCTGTCTCGAAAAACCAAAAAAAAAAAAAAAAAGGCTAGGCTCACAACCAAAGGAGGTAGGCAGGAACCAGAAACTTCTGCGGGTCTGAGTGTGAGTCTGGGACCTCTGAAGGAGTAGGCCTGAGCCAGGTCCTCTGCGAGTCTGGGGGCACCCAAGTCTGGAAACTCTGCAGGAGTAGATACAGACCAGGGTTTACAGAAAGGGGTCTGAGGTGTTGACCTGAGCCAGAGTGGACCTGAGGCAATGAACTTCTCCTAAGGAAGCAGGTCTGAGTCAGTGACCTTGGGCTGGAACAGGCCTGAGGCAACAAATTCCACAGCAGTAGGACTGAGCCAGCATCCTGGCCTTTGAGGCAGTGATCTCCAGAGCAGGAGGGGGATTCAGACCAGGGTCATTTGTGGAAGCAGGACTGGGCCAGCAACCTAGGCTAGAGCAGGCCTGAGGCGGTGAGTTCCACAGGAGTGAGACTAAACCAGGTATGTAGGCCATAGGACTGAGTGGGCCTGATAAAACAAGCTCCACCACGGAAGCAGGTGTGGATCCAGACCAGGAACATTTGCGGAGGCAGGACTGAGCCAGCAACCTGGGCCAGAGCAGACTTGAGACAGCCCACTCCACAGGAACAGGTACCAGGGAGCAACCGCTGAGCAAGTAGGCCAGAAACAGAGACTGCTGTGGGTCCAGGAGTGAATCTGGGACTTTCAAGGGAGTAGACCTAAGCTAGGACCCCTGTGAGTCTAGGCGTGAGTCTAGGACTTCCAAGAAACTAGGCCTAAGCCAGGACCTCTACAGGTCTGGGTGTGAGTCTGAGACCTCTAAGGGAATAGGCCTGAGCCAGGTCTTCTGTGGGTTCAGGCATTGGTTTGGGACATCAATGGGAGTAGGCAGGAACCAGAAACCTCTGCAGGTCTGAGTGTGAGTTTGGGACCTCTGAGGGAGTAGGCCTGAGCCAGGTCCTCTGTGGATCGAGGTACAACCAAGCCTGGGAACACCTAGGGAGTAGATTGGAGCCAGAGTCCTTTACAGGACCAACCCCAAGCCAGGGACCTCTGTAGGAATGGATCCAGACCAGAGAGATTTACAGAAACATGTCTGAGCTGACAATCTAAGCTAGACCAGGCCTGAGACAGTGAACTCAAAGGGAGTGAAGCCTGGGAGCACTGAGTGACCTCCAGGAATATGGAGTGATCAATGGGGTAACTAGAACCATGGCACTGACTGTACCCATGAGGAACAATCATCTGAGCCTTGGATTGACTGGCACCTAGAAGATTAATCAGCAGAATCACAGACATCTTCAACCACAGCAATTAGAGGAAAAGATGGATAGAAAAGGTGTATATGCAAAAGAATCAGTCAGTATAATAAAAAATATCTATGCATCCATGCTTTTTAAAGGTACTTTTCAGAATGACCAATATATATAACCAGACTAGGTACAAATCAATGGATGAATTGACAAAGAAAACTTGGCATACATACATTGAAAGTGGAGTTTTACTTAGACCTAAGGAAGCACAAAATCATCTTATTTGCACCAAAACAGATGAGGTTAGGTAAAAATCAGATCATTAAACATAAAGTCCCAACTTAGAAATGCATATAGCTCATGAGTTCCCCATAGATAGTGTCTAGTTTTTGGAAAAGACATAAAAGCAGAAGGGAGACTATTTAGTCAGCCAGAGAGGGAACAGACAGGACCATGAAGCAGGTAAATATGATCAAGACACCATGTATTTGTGTGGCAAAGTTGCAATGAGAATCTTATTTTTTAGAAAGTAAAGGACAATAGATACCCTTTTCAAGTGAAAATCAAGAGCCCGTCATCACTTGTAGGTAACATATGACAGATCAGTTACTATCCACCAGTTTCCTTTTTAACAATTTAAAGAAGTAAATGAGGAGTGTGACAAGAATCTTTTCTTCTACAAGAATTTCATGGTTTCAGTTTCACTCTCCAGTAATTTATTGGACTTCACTTTCACACAAATGCAAACAGCCTCTAACTCTATACTCTGTGGACTATTGCTTTAAGCAGCTCCTCCCACATGCCACTGTTTAACTTTCCACTAGATATTTAAGGAGCTGTCACATTTGGCTGGACTGCACCCTGTGCAAGCAGAAGACTCAAGACCTGCTTAGTTGCCTGATTGACAAGCTATGAGTTCTGTGCCTCTGCGAATGAATCTGAATGATGGTCACTTCATCCCTGTACTGGGGTTTGGAACCACTGTGCCTGAGAAGGTAACAATTGTGTCTTGAGTATAAGGGTATATTTTAAAAAATCAAGGGTGTGTGGAAACTGAAGTGTACTTTCAGATTTGCTCCAGTTTAAAGCAGGCTCCCAGAATCTCCAGATTATGTTATCCATGTATTAGAGAAGGCAGTCTTGCTACTTGGAGATTTATCATGTGGACAGTACTGTTTATTCTAGACTCTGTTTTTCCTTTAGTTTCAGCCTGTTTGGCAATAAGTGGACAAAAGCTATCAGTGCTACTATTGTGTTTTGAGTTTGGTTGCAATGGGATTAGTGACATGGATTATTTCTGTGATTCAAGTAATTACCTCTCTCTGGTAGATGTGATCCAGATGAAATATTTTGATAGACTTGACTAGAGATATTTCTTATGAAAAATGATGAGCTCATTGCATTCTTCTGAGCAGCAGGGAATGAACACCACAGCAGAAATTCCAGACCTGTGGTGAAATAAGACTTGCTATCTATTTTCACTGTAGAAAAACTTACCAAATAAAAGTAAATATTAAACATTGTATGGGTATACTATACTTTAACAAAGCAACTCTAAAGTCATGCTCCATATTCTTATTTGAATTGAATCAAAATACTACAGGAGGTTCTCATGGGATAATGCTTACATTCTGGTTTTATCCTCTGGTTTTTCAGTGAGTGTCAAGGACAGCACTTAAAGCTTGAGTGGTAGTTTTCTCATGCAGAAGACATAATGGCAGAGATATCTTGATTTTTTGGGGTAGGAATTTTTACTTCATAGCATTCATAGCTTGATAGAGAAAGGTAAAGAGCAAAGATATCACAACAGCTGCAGTCTCAGTAAATCTGTAGAAGTCACTACAACTTAGAGGATGACAGGGCTGGGCTCAAGGGAGTCCAAAGGGACAACTTGGAGCAGGAAGAATTTCTCAGCAGATAAGAGCACTGGCTACTCTTGCAGAGGAATTGGGTCCCAAGCACCCTCATTGTACTTACAATTGTCTATAACTCCAGTTCCAGGGCATCCAACAACCTTTTCTTGCTCTTGCTAGTACCAGACAAGTGAGACATGGATATACATACAGACAGAACATTCACACATAAGATAAAAAAAATTCAAATGAAAAACTATCAAAGAAGAACATTATAATATTTTAGGAAAATTGACTACATTAGAGAAAACAATTCCTGGAAAATTATGTAGAGTCTCTGATGACTTCAGATTAATTGATCCCTAGAATCTATATGGTGTAAGGAGAGAACTGACTCTCACAGGTCTTCCTAGACCTCCAGATGTACAACACACACACACACACACACACACACACACGCACACAAGTAAGAAAAATTTTATAATTCATCTCCATTATTATTATCTTCTTTGTTAGTAAGATAAATCAGACTCTTGTATCATGGAAAACAAGCTCATTTTGATTATATTTTTCATAAGTATTTTTAAATTATGGAACATACATGTAAGTTGTGCATATAGAGCAATATCTAAAGTTCAGAATTATTCTTATCTCATTTTAAAAATAAAAAATGGTAAAGTTCAAGGTGACAGCTGCCACATTGAACAAAAAAGCATTATAAACAATTTTATACACTTGAGATGATATGTAGTATATTCCTAAGAATGTTTTATCTCACAATAGAACCATAACAAATATTTATGTAAATAGATATTTCTGTGTGACATTAGGGGGTTCATGTAACTGCTTTAATAACTAATAGCATTATTATTTTCTTTTATTTGTATTAAATACAACATTTTGTGTCCTACTTAGATTTAAATTAATATCATTTCTGGTATTTTTGAAAGATTTATTTAATTTTGATGTATATATGTATGTATGTCTGGGGGTAAAGGCATGATACCTCAAGGCTAGAAGAAGGTGAGTTATTCCATGGAGGTGGAGTTATAGACAGTTGTGGGCCACCTGACATGGGTGAAGGGAAACAGACTCAATGTTAATGAGATACAGCATCATTTCTGTGAATTATACAAAGGTATATGCAGGTCAAATTAATAGACAACATAGTATCTGCCTATATCTAGCTATTCCTGTCTTTCTATGCTGTGCAAATTTGGTAATAAAAAAATATACTGGTCAAGTTCTAATATGTCTCATTGTTTAGACTCCAGTAATGATCCAATGCAAAATGAATTGTAAACAACTACTAACCCCACACTGCATCATGAAATATTAGATGACAATGTACCTTGATGCATCTCTTAGAAAAACTAGGTTTGTTTAAGTTTCTGTTTGTGCAAGTCATTGATGAGATCAGTTTTCAACAGACTGTGGAAGCAACACGTTGAAAGACTGTTGTTCTCTCTCCTTTATTTTTTTTTCTGGTCCTGGATCAATACACAGAGAACTTTGACCATGACTCAAAGGTTTGGGCTTTCTGAATAAAGGGACATTTCAGTTAATCATTGTTACCAACTTGACCTCAGTGTTCAATAATTTTATGAGCTTTTAGCTCTTTTGTACTTGTTCAGTTATGGTTATTTCACTGTCCTCTTACAATTTATTCTACACGAAAGAGTCTTGGGTTAGAATGTAATATACTACCATAAAATTCCATAGGCCACTTGAACTCATTCATGTAGGTGTAATTGCAGAATGACTTTTGTAGGTTATATGGTTAAAAATAATTGCCTTGGAAAGAGAAAGAGGAGAGAAAGAGAGACAGAAGGCAAAAAGACATTATCACTGACAAAAATCTGAAATTATTACATAGGAAAGCATCTTTGTTTTTTCTTTATAACAATACCCGTGTGTGTGTGTGTGTGTGTGTCTATGCACATGCACATGTCTGTGTGCACATGGGTGTATGCATGAGGAGGTCAGAGATCAGCCTTGGGTGTTGTTCTGTTGCTATGCACATTGTTTTGGTTTTGTTTTTTTGAGGCTGAGTCTTCCAATGGCCTGGAGCTCTGCAAGCAGACTGAGTAGGCCTAGTTCGTCTGTTTGCCTCTGCTTCCTTAGTTCTGGGACTCAAATATGTACACCTACACCCCATGTTTTAACATGCGTTTGGGGGATTAACATCAGAATCTCATCTTGTGCAACACGCATTTTACCAACTGAGCTATTTGCCCAGTTCTAAAGCACACTTTAAAGTGTAGGTTTAAACATGGAATATTAAGAGCAAGAATAATATACACCCAAGTATGGGTGTGCACTCTTCATGGTAATGTCACATCTTTTTTATACTAGCCATATATACCATTTAAGTGGAGCTATTATCTTCAAAGGACTAAAAGGTATCTAAACGACTTCATGGAGTGGTTTCTGAAGGTCACAAAGCAGGATCACAATTGACAAAAAGATACTAGGTCACAGGGATAAAAGAAACTGGACATCTTTACCATACAAAAAGCTAACAATCTTGTTTGAGATGCCCAGAAATATGTCTCCAAGGTATAGGCATGCCAGAACTTAAATCAAGTTTATTGCCATTTAATACAAAATATCTGAATATGAAGAAATGCTGTAATATTGTAGCCATCACAGCACACATTGGTAACTGTGCTGGAATTCTTGATACTCAGCTGGTAAGAGGCTTCAACCAGACTCCAGGAGAGAGGCTCCATTTTCTTCCTGTATCCCATTCCTGTAAGTTTTCCTGTCTTTCTACACTGCCTCAATCAGGCCTCTGAGTCCTTTGATCAAATCACTGAGTTTGGAGATATGTTTTTCAGAATTTCCAGTACAGGGATGCACTGATTGCTCTGGACTGAACACATTTGGGAGACATCCACCACTCGTCCTGATTGTAAGAGATCCAGGAAAATTAGAATTGACTTACCATCACACATAGAGAGCAACTTCAAGAAGGAGAAGTTGATTCACTGGAAAGCCATTGCTTTTGTATGAAATGTCTTTCATTACACAGATACTATTTTTGCTTGCTCTTTTAGGTTCCTAAGGATGAACTTATCAAGGCTACCAAAATAGCTATAGATGCTGGGTTCCGGCATTTTGATTCTGCTTATTTGTATGGAATAGAAGAGGAAGCAGGACAAGCCATTAGAAGCAAGATTGCAGACGGCACTGTGAAGAGAGAAGATATATTCTATACATCAAAGGTATTTTGTGCATGGGATGCTTGTGAACCTTTTTAATGTGGCTGAGCTGAGGAGACAATTATGTGTTTTGGATCAATACCTGTTTCATACATCATTGCTTATTAATATACATTTTTTCACACATTCATGTAGTAAAGCTAGGATAAAAAAAAGATAAAGATGTCTTTGTTCTCACTATGGAGTTAAAATTTATGTATGTATACTGTTCTGAATCTCAAGTCAAAGCAGTGTGGTTCACCATGAAATGTAGAATCAGATAGAGCTTGACCATGACTCAGCAATGAGCACTGCTGAAGAATTGAAGTGGAATTTGCGATTCAACAGAACCAGGGGCCTGTAGGCTATGCTGCTCTAGAGTCTTTACTGATATTCTGAGGTGTTTTTATTCCAAGTAAATCAGGGAGGCCAACAACGAAAGTCAGAACATTTCTCTTCACCATCACCAATGCGCTCAGAGGACAGAAAGTCATGGACAACAGGGGCTGTTTCACAATGCCCTTGAATTCACTAAGCTTTATTGTTGAGGAGGGGCAGAAAGAGAACACATCTTGCCAGAAACATTTCTTGGGCAGGTAGAAGCCTTTGTCCCAGGCTAGTAAACAGTTTTATGGGGTCGGAGTTCACACAGAAGGATAATATATAATATATGAAATTCTATTATAATCAGAATATAGGGTTTTAAGAACCTAGTATTAAAGCAAATAGGAGTTTATTTTTGAGTAGTCATTACTTAGGAACACAGATTTAGCCTAGCTCAAATTCTACTCCCCAACATGGTAGCATTTTCATGAAGGTTTTTTTTGCACGTTTAAAATACATTGGTGAGTACACCAGGGAGGCAGGTAGAATGAGATGAGGGATCTTTTTTTTTAGGTTTCACATGCTATTGGTTTTGAAATCGTGGAAGCTAGTATTCAAATAAGTTAATATAGTCTCAACTATTTTAATCCATTGCTACAATATCTTAGTTCTGACACAGAGGTGCACAGCAATGGCTGTTCCCAGATGACTTGTCAAAGGTAAGATAATTAGCCTCTCAACCCGCAGCATTCCAACATCACCACATACTGAAGTTCCAATCAGTCAATCAGACTCTGCAGACACAGTATTTTTTCAGGAGTTTTGTTCACAAAAGGCATAGCTAAAGTACATTCAGTTAAGTTCAGCACACACTAACATGTCCCCAAAGGGTTTTTCTACAACCTTCAATTATGTATATTGAATGAGTACTGATTCTGCCTGTGTACTTGAATGGATGAGTGATTTCGACCAATCCTGAGTGTTATTTTGTAAACTCAATGTTATTATTAGAGAAGACAACCTTTCTCTTTAAATATTCCATTCCATGTTTAGTAGATAAACTGATAATAGCCAAGCATGCAATGATGTTCACGTTACATAGCTCAGTGGCAGGCACTAGACTGTACACACAATGGAGTTTGTATGTGAAAAAGAAAAGCAGGGAGAGTGTTTCCAGCTGTAGGAAAATGTCTCTTTGTTAAATAAAGAAATTGAGCAAAAGTGAACAAACTCTGAGTTTAAAATTTCGTTCTTTAATATTGGCAGCTTTGGAGCACTTTCCATAGACCAGAATTGGTTCAATCTTGCTTGGAAGCATCACTGAAGAAAGCTCAATTGGACTATGTCGATCTGTATATTATTCATTTCCCAATGGCTTTGCAGGTGAGCAATCACTGTGCCTACCATTATTTCACTAGTGGTGGCCGTATAACTAACAGTTATGTGACAATTTATGATTTATATTATTGGGTGAATGTATGGATTATTCTGATGAAAATCCTAAACAATAATTTTCAAATTCCATTTCATTGAGATATTTTTTGAACCTTGAAACAGTGTTTCCTGATTGCGAAAGAAAGCAATTTAAGCCAGGCGATGGTGACACACGTTTTTAATCCTAGCACTCAGGAAGCAGAGACAAGTGGATGGATCTCTGTGAGTTCATAGCAAGCCTGATTTACAAGAGCTGGTTCCAGGACAGGCTCCAAAACTACAAAGAAACCCTCTCTCAAAAAATTAAAATATAATAATAATAATAATAATAATAATAATAATAATAATAATAATAATTTAGTGGTCCTCTTACTAGAAACTTGGGGGGAAAAAAAAACAAAAAAATATTCAAGGCATAGTTACAATTTTTGTCCCTGTAAGTTTGTATCTTTTTTTGCTGTGTATGTTTGCATATGTGTTCACATATATGCAAGTGGACATGTTTGTAGTTGCACGTGCATGCGTGTGCATATTCATGTGAAAGACAGAAAATAGATGCTGGTGTTGTTCTTTAGATGCCATCCACAATTTATTTGATATTAGGTCTTTCATTGGCCTAGAATTCTGAACAGTCTAGACTGATTGGACAATTAGCCCCAGGAATCTCCATGTCTCCATCTTCCCAGTCCTAGGACTGCAAACTTGTACAACCACACCTGGCTTTAAATTTTGTTTCCTGTTTGCTGTTTTACATGAGTTCTGAAGGTCAAACTCATGTCCTTAGGTTTTCAAGTCCAATGCTTTTCCCACTAGGCCATGTCCTCAGTTCCCCTTAGTCTTTTGAAGGTGTTTACATGCAGATTGCATGGAGATTAATAAAACTGCCACACATATGCTTCACAATGAGGTTCCAACATCTTTCATAATTACACTTTGAAAGCAGATCTGGTGGTACTCAGTCTGTGTTGGTGTCCTGATTAGTTTTAGCTCTCAACTTGACAGGGCCCAAAGTCATCTGAGGGAGTCTCAGTTAAGGAACAGATTTGCCTGAGGTCATGTCTTTGAGGAAGTATGTTGACTATGGACTGATGTGAGTTGGTCCACCCCACTGTGGAAAGTGCCATCCCTCTGCAGGTGGACCTGGCCTGTAGTAGGAAGCTAGCTGATGAATGAGGAAGGGAATGAACCCTGGAGCAGCATTCCTCCATGTTTTCTGCTTCAGTTTCTGCTCAAGTCCCTGCCCTCAATGATAGACTGTGTTCTGAAAGTGTAAGACATTAAATAAACCCTTTCCTTCCCAGCTGTTTATAATGGCAGGAGAAAGCCAAGCAGTGCATCTGGTTCTCATACTACCTGCCCTTGGAGAGTTAGCGATTGGAGATTATTTGTCTTGATAGTTCATGGTGGTGGGGTTTTGTAGATGGCATTTAGCCATTAATAACAGTATTATGCAGATTTCTTGCTATAAAATTATGTGGAAAACTTAGGCTAGTTTGTGCAATGGAGGCTATTATATTACATAAGTCTGAACCATGACTACATTTAAAGATATGAATAGCATTAGCTTCAGACATATTTTCTCCATTCCTTATCTCTACATCTTGTCTATTTAATTGGGGGCTGTCATTTGCTATTGACAGAATTGTCATGGCAGTTCAAAATTTATGATTGGTAAAACTGGAGAGTTACTCTGGCTTTCTAATCCACATTAATCCTGAAAAGAAAGTCTGACTGATGACCCAGTTTAATTGTGCATATCCTTACACAATCATCTGTCCACTGTGATAAGGAACTGTTTTGCTCACGTCATAGTCTGTTATTGCCAGAGACCAAGATCATATAGTTACTGCATTCACCAAAAAGATAGAGGCATTTTTCTGTAGGGAAATGTAGGGGCTGAAATAATAACAAAAGCAATGCAAGACACCATTAGGACTTTGAAGAAAGCACTATTTAAGCATAAGGAAAATATAAAAGATTAGGGGATGCCAATCTTTAAAGTTTTATCCTTTGTCACTCCAATTGCAAAGTATCTAAAATAATGTCCTACTTATTTGGGAAGGTTTCACGGCCCAGACTCTGAGAGACTTGGCAGTGTGACCAAATGTGGTAACATGAGTGTGGTAAAGTCTTTAAAATGGATGATTCAATTCCAGCCTGGAGCTAAGCTATTTCCAAGAGATGAAGATGGAAATCTGTTGGTGGACCCGGTGAATCTCTGTGACACATGGGAGGTGAGTTCTTAGAGGGGAGAATATGGAGGGAATATAATGAGAATCTGAGTCAGGTATTACCTTCACCTGTGAGAAAAGAATGTACCTGGCTCAGTCTAGAAATTTGTAGCTTTAGTAAGAAAGGTTTTGATGGAATTAGCAGAGGAATTCATTATTGGAAAATAATAGGAATGGATAAGACCGGAGGGCAGGGGTTTAGGGATCTCTTTAAACAAATGTTGAATTCCACAATTTCTTATTTATTTGTTGGTTAGTTTGCTTTACATCCCAGCTACAGTTACCCCTCCCTCGTCTCCCCTCTGTCTTCCCTCCTCCATGAACTCTTTCTCTACTTCTATTCAAAAAAGTACATGCCTCCCATAGACATTATCAAAACACGGCATAACAAGTTGCAATAAGATAAACCATTGTAACACACCTCACTATGTATTAAGACTGGGCAAGGCAACTCAATTTGAGGAGTAGGGGCCTCAAAAGCCAACAATACAGTCAGAGATAGTCCCTGCTTCCACTGTTAGAAGTCCTACAAGAAAACCAAGTTATATAACTGTCATACATATGCAGAGGGCATAAGTCAGTTCCATGCAGGTTCCCTGATTGTTGGTTCAGTGTCTGTGAGCTCCTATGAGCCCAGGTTAGTTGATTCTGTGGGTTTTCTTGTGATGTCCTTGACCTCTTTGGCTGCTATAATCTGTCCTTCATCTCTTCAGCAGGATTTCCCAAGCCCAGTGTAAACTTTGATTGTGGGTCTCTGCATCTGTTCTCGCCAGTTGCTGGATGAGGCCTCTCTGATGACTATTGGATTAGGCACTAATCTATGAGTGCAGGAGAATAGCATTAGGCATCAATACATTGACTTTAACTTGCTCCAGTCATGTTTAGTTCTATCCTAGGTCTCTGGGTCATCCGGTCTCTGGGTCATGGTGTTCCAAGCAGTTCAGGGGTGGCTCACTCTCAATATGCTGGCATGGGTCTCAGGCTGAACCAGTCGTTGGTTGGCCACTCCAATAACCTGCATCACCCTTACACCAGCATATCCCTTAGGTCAGCAGGCAGGTTATGTGGCTGGGTCCCTCCACTGGTAGTCTTGTCTGGTCATTGGAGGTGGCCAGTTCAAAGTACATACCCCCTTTGTTAGGAGTCTTAGTTGATGTCTTCCTTGTACATTCCTGAAAGTTCCCCTTGCACCAGGTTTTTACCTGACCTTGAAATGATCCCTCTGAAGTCCACTCTTTCAGTATTCTTCTCCTACCCTGCCCCCACCTGATCCTTCATGTTCTCATCCCTACCTACCCTGAGACCACCCAAATCTCTTGCCTTTCCTCTTCCCAGGGATGTTGGGAACAGTGACCCCCAGATCCTGAATTTCTTGTAAACAACTTGTTTTCCTCTGCTCTGAGACAGCCTGCAGCTGCTCTGAGCATGAGACCTTCAGGAGTTCCTGATGGTAGGGGAGTGATTTCTGGTGGGTTTGACTGGGGCATGGCTATCCCTATATAAGCTGCTCCTGAACACAATAAAGGAGGCATTCTTGGGGCATTCCTGTTTCAAGGATGACCCGTGTCTCTATCTGTGTGTCTTTGTGTGTTTAAATCTCCAGGTCCTTCCCCAGCTCACGAATGGTCATGTAGGGCAGGTGTACCGCAATACAGGACCAGTACAGTACTGTCACATAGTACAGGCAGGCGGTACACAGGGAGATCCAGGAAATCCTTTGAGCCCTCATTGTTATCTAGATTCCCTGGGTCTGTGAATTGTAGCATTATTATTTACTTTACAGATAAAATCAACTTACAAATATAAATGAGTACATACCATGTTTGTCTTTCTGGGTGTGGGTTATCTCACTCAGGATGATTGTTTTGTAATTCCATCCACTTGCCTTCAAATTTCAAAGTTTCATTGGTTGTTTTTAACAGCTGAATAATACTCCATTGTGTAAATGTACCCCATTTTCTTTATCCATTCCTTGGTTGAGGGATATCTAGATTTTTTTTCCAGGTTCTGGGAATTGTGAATAAAGCTGCTATGAACATAGCTGAGCAAGTATCTTTATTGTATGATTGAGAATCCTCTGGGCATATGCCCAAGGACGATATAGCTGAGTCTTGTGGGAGACTGATTTTCAATTTTTGGAAAAACTACCTCGTTGATTTCCAAAGTGGCCTTATGAGTTTACACTCCTGTGAGCAATGGAGGAGTGTTCGTTCCCTTTGCTCCAAGTTCTCTCCAGCATAAGCTGTCCTCAGTGTTCTTGATCTTAGCCTTTCTGACAGGTGTAAGGTGGAATCTCAGAGTCATTTTTATTTGCATTTCCCTGATGACTAAGGATGTTGAGCACCTTGTTCATTGTTTTGCAGCCATTTGATATTCTTCTTTTGAGAATTCTGTGTTTAGATCTTTAACACATTTTAAAATTGAATGATTTGGTTTTTTTGATGTCTAGTTTTTTGGGTTCTTTATATATTTTGGAAATCAGTGCTCTTTCAGATGTTGCTATGGTGAAGATCTTTTCTCATTCTGCAGACTGCTGTTTTGTTCTATTGACAGTATCCTTTACCTTACATAACCTTTTCAGTTTTATGAGGTCTTACTTATTAATTTTGGGGTTTAGTGTCTCCTATATTGTTGTTCTTCAGGAAGTTGTTTTCTCTCCCAAAGGGTTCAAGGTTATTCTCCATTCTTCAGTGTAGCTGGATTTATGTTGAGGTCTTTGATCCATTTGGACTTGAGTTTTGTGCTGGATGATATATAATGATCTTTTTTATACTTCTACATATGAACATCCAATTATGGCAGCACCATTTGTTAAAGGTGCTTTTTTTCCTGTATTATTTTGGCTTCTTTGTAAAAAACCAGGTGTCCATAGGTATGTGGATTTATGTCTAGGGCTTCAATTTGATTCCATTGATCCACCTATCTGTTTTTATGCCAATACTATGCTGCTTTTGTTACTATAGCCTTATGTAGTAGAGTTTGAGATCAGGAATGACAAAACCTCTAGAAGTTCTTTTATGGTGCATGATTGTTTTAGCTATCCTGTTTTTTTTCCATATGAAGTATTGTTCTTTCAAGGGCTGTAAAGAATTGCATTGGGATTTTTTATTGATATATTGAGCTATATACTTTTCTCTGCTCCCCTCTCTGACCCTCCCCTGCCCTTCAACCCTCTCCTATGGTCCCTATGCTTCAAATTTACTCCGGAGATCTTGTTTTTCACTACTTCCCATGTAGATTAGATCCATGTATTTCTCTTTTAGGGTCTTCATTCATTGTTGTCTAGGTTCTCTAGGGATTGTGAATTATAGGCTGGTTTTCTTTGTTTTGTGTTTCAAAAGCACTTATGAGTGAGTACATATGATGATTGTCTTTCTTGATCTGCATTACCTCACTCAATAAGATGTTTTCTAGCTCCATCCATTGGTCTACAAATTTCAAAATGTCATTATTTTTCTCTGCTTTGTAATACTCCATTGTGTAAATGTACCACATTTTTCTTATCTAGTCTTCAGTCAAGGGGCATTTAGGTTGTTTCCAGCTTCTGGCTATGACAAACAATGCTGCTATGAGCATAGTTGAGCACATGTCCTTGTGGTATGATCAAGCATCCTTTGGATATATAACTAAAAGTGGTATTGCTGGGTCTTGAGAAAGGTTGTTTCCTAATTTTCTGAGAAATCACCATATATATATATATATATCTGTTGGAGGAGGGCCACTTGTTGGTTCCCAGATACAAATTAATCACACAGATCATATGGCTAACACTTATATTAATTTAACACATTTCTGTTAATCTGTATATTGCCACGTAGCTATGTCTTACTGGGTAAAGTTCCCAGTGTCTATCTGTGGTGGGTCTATGGCTTTGCTTTGACTTTACCTCCTTTCTCCCAGCATTCTGTTTTGTTTCCCCTGCCTAGATCTGTTCCCCTATAGCTCTGCTATCAGCCCAAAGAAGTTCCTTTATTAACCAATGATATTCACAGCATACAGAGGGAAATCTCATATCACCTCCTCTTTTCTGTTTAAATGAAAAGGAAGGTTTTAACTTTAACATAGTAAAATTACATATAACAAAACAGGTATCAAGCAAGAGTTACAGTTACAATATCTATATCTGTTATTTTATTTTATTTATTTATTTATTAAAATTTCCACATCCTCCCATTTCTCTCCCACTTCCCCCACTCCCCTTCCCCCTCGCTCTTCAGTCCTAAGAGAAGTTAGGGTGCCCTGCCCTGTGAAAAGTCCAAGCCCCCCCCCCCCGCTTTCATCCAGGTCTAGGAAAGTGAGCATCCAAACAGACTAGGCTCCCCAAAAGCCAGTACATGCAGTAGAATCAAAATCCGGTGTCATCATCATTGTCTTCTCAGTTCGCCCTCATTGTCAGCCACATTCAGAGAGTCCAGTTTGATCACATGCTCGTTTGGTTTTATCTTTTATTATGACTAAGAAAAACTGTATATATAAAATTCTTCAACTCCATCAAAGACTCCAGAAGGATACACTATTACCTAAGTAAACAGGAAGTGCATTGTAAGCAACTTCCAAAACTTGAGAATTAACAGAGACATCTCACTGTCTGGACAGTTACCCAAAGTTCTTCTGTACTGTTGGTGCATCCATCTTCAGCCTACTGGCCCATACATAGTATCCAGCAGACTTTTCTATAAAATAGGAAAATTCAAAGACAGTTCAACCTATATTGGCAGTTTGTCAGTCACTTCTTCTGTGTCCTGTAGAATGTCTGGCAGATTTTTTCATGTAGCAGGAACCCCAAAGGACCATCTTATTCCTTCCTTGACTCAGTGTTAATTCAGTAAAGGGCTGTTCAGTTTCCATCAAATTGTGGGTTTTCTGTTGTTGTAATCCAACTTTAATCCATGATAATTTATTAGGATACAGGGGATTGTTTCAATTTTCTTGTGTCTGTTGAGATTTGCTTTGTGATCGAGTATGTGGTCAATTTTGGACAAGGTTCTATGAAGTGCTGAGATAGGTTTTTTCTGTTTTGACGAAACATTCTATAGACGTGTTAAGTTAATTTGCATCCTAGTACTTAGGACTATTATTTCTCTGTTCAGTTTCCAATATTTCTCTGTTTATTTTCTATCTGGATGACCTGCCCATTGGAGAAAGTGGAGTGTTGAAGACTCCTAGTATCAATATGTAGGATTCTATGTGTGGTTTAAAATTTAGTAATTTCTTTTACAAATCTGGGTACCCTTGGATCTGAGACATAATCTTGGTGGCTTTTTCTTTGACAAGTATAAGATATCTTTCTCCATCTCTTTTGATTAATTTTGGTCTGAAGTCTATTTTGTTAGGTATTATGATTGCTACACTCAAATGCTTGTTAGGGCAATTTGATTGGAAGCCATTTACTCTGAGTAATTTCTATTTTTGATGTTGAGGTGTAATTCTTGTATGCAGAAGTATGTATTCTGTTTTTTTACTCCATTCTTTTAGCCTATTCTTTTTATTGGTGAATTGAGTCCATTGATAGTGAGAGAGCTTAATGACCACTGACTATTTGTTTCTATTATGTTATTGTTGTCAGTAATGCCTGTGTGTGTGTGTGTGTGTGTGTGTGTGTCTGTGTTTCCCTTCTTTGGCTTTTGTTGGTGTGAGATTATCTATAGTCTGTGTTTATGTGAGTGCAGTTAACTTCCTCGGACCTGAGTTTTCCTTATAGTACTTTCTATAGGACTGAATTTGTGGATAGATATTGTTAAAATTTGACTTTGTCATGAAATGTCTTCTTTTCTCCATCTATAATGATTGAAAGTTTTGCTAGGTATATTTGTCTGGGCTGGCATTAGCGGTTTCTCAGAGTCTGTAAAATATCTGTCCAGGCACTTCTGGCTTTTAACGTCTCTGTTGAGAAGCTGGGTGTAATTCTTATAGGTCTGCTTATACTTTACTTGGCCTTTTTCCTTTGCAGTTTTTAATATTCTTTCTTTGTTCTGTGTATTTAGTGTTTTAATTAGTATGTGACACAGGGAATTTCTTTTCTGTTCCCATCTGTTTGGTGTTCAGTAAGCTTCTCCTACTTTTATAGGTATATCCTTCTTTAGGTTAAGAAAATTTTCTTCTATGGTTTTGTTAAATATATTTTCTAGCTTTTTTGAGCTTGGATTCTTCTATTCCTATTATCCTTAGATTTGGATTTTTCTTGGTGTCCCAGGTTTCCTGAATGTTTTGTGTTCAGATTTTTTTTTAGCTCTACCATATTCTTTGACTGATGAATCTATTTCTTCTATTGTATCTTCAACATCTGAGACTCTCTTTTTTATCTTTTGAATTCTGTTGGTGATGCTTGCATCTGTATTTCCTTTGCTTACTTTGATTTTCCATTCCCTGAATTCCCTCCGTTTGTGCTATTTTTATTGTTTCTATTTTGTTTTTAATGTATTGAGTCTTGAATAATTTTGCCAACCTACTTGTTTGCTTCTTCTGAACTTTCTTGTCATTCTTTAAGGAATTTGCTGATTTCCTCTAATACTTTGGTTAAAACATAAATTTAAAAAAAATCTTTTCTAATTTTACATATCAATTCCTGTTCCTTCTTCCTCCAGCCTTCCTTCTCTCTCAATCTTCCACACATCTCACCACCCATCCACACTTCAGAGTTGATGATGCTTCCTTTCATGTGGAGTCAAGAAAATCTGGAACAACACTTTGAGACAGGACCAAGGGCCTACTCCTTATATCTAGGCTGAGCATGGCATTCCTCCAATGGGAGTAGGCTCCAAAAAAATCCAGTTCAAGCACTAGTGATAAATCCTGGTCCCAATGTCAGTAGCCCCACAGACTACCCCAGACATACAACTGTCACCCACATTCGGAGGTACTAGTTTGGGCCTATACAGGTTCCCATATTGTCAGTCTGAAGTCAGTGATCTCTCACTACCTCAGGTCAGGTTTTTCTGTGGCCATCCCCATCATGGTCTTGATCCCTTTGCTCATAATATCACTCTGCCTTCTCTTTGTTTGAACTCTCTGAGCTTTGCCTGTTGTTAGCTGTGGATCTCTGCATCTGCTTCCATAAGTTGCTGGATGAAGGTTCTGTCATGACAGGGTAGTCATCAATCTGATTACAGAAGAAGAGCAGTTCAGGCACCCTCTCTACTATTGCTTAGGGTATTAGCTGGGGTCATCTTTGTAGATTTTTGGAAATTTTCCTAGTGCCAGATTTCTTTCTAACCCATAATGACTCCCTCAATCAAGAAATTTCTTTCCTTGCTCTCCTTCTCTGTTTTTCCCCATATCAACCATCTCATTCCCTCATGTTCTCCTTCCCCTTTCCCTTCTCTCCTACCCTCTTCTTCCTCCCTCCCTTCCACCCCCATGCCCTCAGTTTTCTCAGGAGCACTTCTCTATTTCCCCTTCCCAGGGGCATTTATGTATCTCTCTCTTAGGGTTCTCCTTGTTACCTAGCTTGTCATAGAATATAGGCTGGTTATTCTTTACTTTATGTCTAATCTGTGACTAAGTACATACTGTGTTTTTCTTTCTGGGTCTGGGTTGCCTCACTCCAGATGATTTTTTTCTACTTCCATCCATTTGTTTGCAAATTTCAAGATGTCACTTTTTTTTACCATTGAGTAGTACTCCATTGTCTAAATGCATCATATTTTCTTTATCCATTCTTTGGTTAAGGAGCATCTAGGTTGTTTCCAGGTTCTCGCTATTATGAATAATGCTGCTATGAATGTAGTTAATCAAGTGTCCTTGTGATATGGCTGTGTATCCTTTAGGTATATACCCAAGAGTGGTATTTCTGGGTCTTGAGGTAGATTGATTCCTAATTTTCTGAGAAACTGTCATACTGATTTCAAATTGACTATACATATTTGCATTCTCACTATCAGTGAAGGAGTGTTCCCCTTATTCTGTTTCCTCACTGATCTTTTGGATCCCATGGTTTACCCACTTTGAGGGCTGGACTTCTAATATTCTGAATGACCTCTGGTCCAGCAGAGGGATGCTGATAAGCTTGAGGTTAGCTTTCTAGTTATATATGTGCATGACTACTGATCTGGCCAAGAGTCCTCTGGGATTCAGATACTGGCCTCGCTTCTAGTGAAGTAGAAGGCTTCTGCCTGATTTTCAGAATATGAGCTTGGTCCTTTGGGTTCAGGATGCTGGCCTGGCCTCTGATGGGTGGAAGACTTCACCAGAGGTATGGACAAGGATATGGTGATAAGGAGAAGAGGGGCAATTGGAGGTATGGTGGTCAAGCACAGCTGGGATGGGGGGCAGTATTACATAGGGTTCAGTGTGCTGGACATGCCTCTGGGGAATGAAAGGATTCAGCCAGAGTTTTGGGCTAGTAAGTGGTAATGAGGAGAGGTTGGGTGGTTGGGGTTATGCTGGGAAGGAGGGGTGGGTGGAGGGAGATTCAGGATGCTGCCCTGCCTCTTGAGAATGGATGGTTTAAGCCAGATTTGTAGACACAGATAAGGTGGCAAAAAGAGGATGGGCATGTGGGCTTATGCTGGGTTTGGCAGGGGCAAATTGGCTGGGGTAGTGGGTTGCCTGCTTTTTAGGAAGCTGGACTGGCTTCTGATGGGGTGGAAGGCTTCTGCAAGAGATGTGGTCTGGGATATGATGATGAAGAAAATTGGAGTTATGCTGTTGGTTTTCTGGAAGCTGGCCTGACTTCTCATGTTGCCTATTTCTTCAGGACATAGAATTGTTTCTTGCTTTCACTTCTTCTGCCCCTTATTTCTCTATCTCTAGACAGTCAAAACCAGCATTGCTTGGAAGCATCCCTTTTAAAACCAATTCTTGGAACAACTGCACAATTTATCCTTCACTATCTCTTCCACTACAGGCCATGGAGAAGTGTAAGGACGCAGGACTGGCCAAGTCCATTGGGGTGTCCAACTTTAACCGCAGGCAGCTGGAGATGATCCTGAACAAGCCAGGACTCAAGTACAAGCCTGTGTGCAACCAGGTGAGCCCTTTCCACTCCTTGCCCTTTTATGCCTTAATTTGTTCTTCCTGCACCACTGGCTCATATCCATTTGTTGTCTAGTCTTGTTCATTTTACCTTCATGGGATGGAAATTTTAAAAGTGGAGTCTCTCTGAAAGGACATAGAATTCTTTCACTAAAACTATGAGAAAGATAGCAGAACATTGGGGAAATCGGATATAAGAAATATATCACGGAAAGGCAATCAAAAAAGGCAGTAGTCATTGTGTGGCCACTGAGGAGAATATGTTCTTCTCTATCTATGAGAAGCAACTAGAGGAAGAAAGATGCTGTGGCGGAAACTGTGTACAGAAAGAAAGGTCCTGGAAAGAATGATGGAGCCAAAATAAAAGATGGTACAAACATGAATATTAGATGGTGGTGCTTTTGGTCCTGATTTCAAGTATATTAACCACAGTCATTGCTATAGGGAAGTTAACAGGAAGCTATCAAATTCATCTAGATTTATGAGATATCTTACTTGGTTATGGTGAAATCATGATGGGAATTTTGGCCAGAGCACTTTGAGCTGACCTTTTGCCTGACCACACACATCATAGTCTACTCCTTCCTGCTTTCTGACAGCAAGTCAGCTGTTTATACACACACACACACACACACACACACACACACAGTGGGTCACAGGAATTGAAATCAGGTCATCAGGCTTGCCAGCAAGTGCTAAGCCATTTCACCAGCCCATTTCAGTTTTCTTACATAATATTTTGATAGATTATTTAAACTTTTGATGCATCAGGATAAAAGTCAATTTTATATGAGGTAATAGTAATTATTTTACAAACTAATAGCACATATTAAAAGTTTCCCTTTGACTACCAATGTTCTAAACCCTCACAGTGAAAATCAGCATGAGCAAATGGATTTGTTTACCCTTTTTCTTTTCTCTCTGTATTATGATGGATTTATGGGTTTCCTACATTAATATGGATCCTATCAAACTGGTTATCATATGAATGTTGTCATAATACATTTCATCAAGAGCGTATAGCCAACCTTCATGAAGTGGAAAGATTATTTAGCATCCAAGAACAGGTCCATAGAATTATTTCTTCTCATATATATATATAACATATATGTGTTAGAAAAATCTTTCTATAAGAAAGAGTGATTATATCTACTTTATTAAACTGATTGTTATTTAATTTATTTTTTACTTCAAATTTTACATTATACTTTTAAAATTTTTCACATTCTTTCATTTTGATGTTTTCCTTTTGTGTTAATGCAAAGCTTCTTTTAATCTGATTATTTTCTATCAGGTAGAATGTCATGTTTATCTCAACCAGAGCAAAATGCTGGAGTATTGCAAGTCCAAGGACATCGCTCTGATTGCCTACTGTACGTTGGGAAGTTCACGAGACCCAATATGGTAGGTATCAAAAACAACAGAGAATCTCAAATATCATTGTTGAAATAGATTTAGTCCTTTAACAACTTTCTAGATCTAACTCTCAGCTGACTTAGATAAGATGGCATTTAAATTTCTGAGAAGACCTGAGGTGATATTGACTCTACTGGCCTAAGGAGAATAATTGCATATCTATGGTCTAGAGTATGTAAGAATTTTGGAAGCCTCCTATCCTTAAAATAATTTGAACTTCTGTAGTTTAGCATTTTACCTTCCCTTCCAGGGTGGACCAAAGCAGCCCCGTTCTTTTAGAAGATCCAGTTCTTTGTACCATGGCAAAGAAATACAACCAAACACCAGCCTTGGTTGCCCTTCGTTACCTGTTGCAGCGTGGGATTGTGACCCTGGCCAGGAGTTTCAATGAGAAGAGGATCAAAGAGATGATGCAGGTGATGTAGGCACTGAAACATCTGTGAAATATCCTTTCTTAGTTAGGGTTACTTATTGCTGTCATGAAGCGTCATGACCAAAAGCAACTTGAGTAGGAAAAGGTTTATTTGGCTTTGTTTCCACATCACAGTTCACCATCAAAGGAAGTTGGGATAAGAACTCAACCAGGAGAGGAACCTAGAAGCTATGACTGATGCTGAGGCCATGGATGGGCAGAGCTTACTGGCTTGCTCCTCGTGGTTGTTCAAACTGCTTTCTTATAAAACCCAGGGCCACCAGCCCAAGGATGGCTTCACCACAATGGGCCGCGCATCTCCCATCAATCAATAATTAAGAAAATACATTACATTTGGATATTATGGAGACATTTTCTTAATTGAAGTTCCCTGCTTTCAGATAACTCTAGCTTGTGTCAAGTTGACATAGACTAGTCAGCACATATCCTTAATGTGGGTCTTTTGTGATCTCTCAGAACATCTTTGTGCATATTAGGCTCCTTTAAAATTATATTCAATTATGTGTGTGTGTATGTGTGTGTGTGTGTGATGTGTGTGTGTGTGTTTGTTTGTGTTCATGCATGCAGGTGCCATGATGTGTATGTGGAGGCCAGGTGACAGCTTTTTAGGAGTTAGCTTTTCTTTCCACTATGGATTCCAGGGGTTGAATTCAGGCCTTCAGGGGTTGAATTCAGGTGCATGTGTGTGTGTGTGTGTGTGTGTGTGTGTGTTGTGTATATGGACAGAGTCTGATGTGTCTGGCTGTCAGAGAACAATCTTGGGTGTTAGCCGTCACTTTTTACTTTGACACAGAGTCCCTCTTGTACATAGCTGACACTGGGTGAACAGGATGTCCTAGTTAGTTTTCCTTTGCTGGCTTAAAACCATGACCAAAAGCAACCTGAGGGAGGAAAGGGCTTGTTTGGCTTACACTGCAACAGCACAGTCCACTCCACCTTTAAGAGCTTTATCAGCTGTTCAGATACTGATTTTCTCTTGTCTTCTACCACATTGTACAGTAGTACTATAGATTCATAAAATCATTATTCTGAATACACTGGGAGCTAGTGATGATAATTTTTATGTTAACTGATCTCTAATTTAGATAAGATCTTTGGAAACCAGTTCCTAGGCTATTTGCTGATGACTTCATTATCATTGGACAATTGATAAATTAAACTATATAAAACTTATTTTCTCATTTTTAATGGGATATAGGAGTCTTTGTCCATACATTTTACTAAACTCTGTTGTTAAAATTTAGTTTTTTAATGTTTTGTTCAGAATTCTAAGTTCATATGTCTCAATAACATCATCTCTATTTCTTTCCTAGACTTTCCTTGCTTTGTAGTTGTGTGATTCAATCTCTTATGTAAGAACATGGCTTCATTTCTTGTCTGCCTGTTGTTTCTTAATAGTGTGAATGTTGTGAATGATATCAAGAGATTTAGGCCATGTCTCCTGTATTTTTAATATTGCCTCTGTACCACTTTTTTGAATATGATTGGGTTTCTCAGACTGGCAATATGTAACATAAAAGTAATCAAATTTCTACTTCCGTGATAGGTTTTTGAATTCCAGCTGACTTCAGAGGACATGAAAATCATAGATGGTTTGAACAGAAATTTAAGATACAATTCTGGAGATTAGTAAGTTCCTTTGATCAATACATTTCTTCAGTTTGTTTTTTGAGTAGAAACGTAATGTGTTAAATATCACCTCGATATGCAGAAGACAAAAGCTAACGTGAGCTGGGGATGAGTTGCTTTGGGAGTTCTTACAGATTGTCTCTAGGGCTCTGTTCCATGGTGGAACCAGGGTCAGTTGACTTCCACGTGTGCCTTCTGCCCATCTCAAGCCACAGAACTTTCTGGATAATACAATACCATTGTTCAAACTGAAGCTCTGTGTAGGCTTCTGTTTTCTACAGCTGTGTCATGGCACATATACTTTACCATCTACCTGAGTTAAATACCTGAGCTTATACATCAGCTCCCACGTACCTCAGCATGTTTTCCTAACCAGATCAAAGATATCTTTTCAACACCATGGTCTTAGTTAGACCCTCATATCTACTCCATATGCAATTGTTAATTATACCTCTTCAATTCGATGTTTTAAATAAATCCAAGTCTCTCAATGTGCAATACCTTTTTCTAAACTCAGCCCTCAAATTCCACCTTTGCATAAAACCAGTTGTTCTTGGTGAGGTGAAGAGAAACTATTGTTTTGCATTTAAAGAAATACAGAGATCTCAGTGCAGAGGACAGAGATGTCTCAGATTAGTGAGCTAAGAACCAGAAGGAAGATCTTGGAGACATTCCCATTGTTAGATTTTTTTTTTCCTTTTTATCAAGACAGGGTTTCTCTGTGTAGCTTTGGAGCCTGTCCTGGACCTCACTTTGTAGACCAAGTTGGCCTCACACTCACAGAGATTTGCCTGCCTCCGCCTCTCAAGTGCTGGGGTTAAAGGTGTGTACCACCACCACCCGATAGCTGGGAGAAATTTGAAGCCTACAAATGGTCTCTAGTTTTCCTTCCATCTGTAAGACTGTATGAAGTGAGAAAAGACATACCCTATAAAAGAGTGTGGGCAGCAGTGTGTAATTTTTGTGCCAATGGGAATTTAAACTCACAATATAAATAATGGAATGGTGTATGAAATGAGAATAGTCCAATTCAAAATTATATGTGCTCAAGAAAATAACAGATACATCATTAATAATTTTTTCTATGTATAAAAAAATTAAGAATTAGAGGAAATAGTACAAAAATAGAGAGAATGGAAAGCATAGAGGTGTTATTGCTATACTTTATGTTTAACTATAAAAAAATAAAAGAATGATCTTTGTCAATTATATTTGTGTCACTAGTAAAGTATACAAATTACCAAATTTCAAAGCATACTTCTAGAATAAGGGTCTTAACATTGTTAAAGTGGGCATGGTGGCACACAACTATAGCCCCAACACTGGGAGATAGAGGCAGGAGGGTCAGAAGTTCCTAATCATTGTCAGCTATATAGTGAGTTTGAGGACAGCTTGGAATATGTGAGGCCCAGTCTAAAAAAAATGAAATTTTTTCTACAAACTTTGCTTTTAAATCATATGTGTTAGGGTTACCATTGCTATGAAGAAACAGCATGATCAAAACAACATGGGAAGGAAAGGTTTTATTTCTCTTACACTTACATATAATAGTTCCCTATGAAAAGCAGTGAAGGTAGGAACTCAAGCAAGGCAGGAACTTGTCTGCAGGAGCTGATGCGGCAGCCATGGAGAAGTTTTGCTTACTGGCTTTCTCTACATGATTTGCTCAGTCTGCTTTCCTATAAAACCCAGGACTACCAGCCAAGGAATGGCACCACCCACAGTGGACTGTGGCCTCCCACATCAATCACTAATTAAGGAAGTGCTCTATACTGGCTTGTCGGAAGCTGGATCTTATAGAAGCATTTTCTCAATTGAGGCTCTTTTCTCTCAGATGATTCTCGCTTGTGTCAAGTTGACATAAAACTAGCCAGTACAATATGTAACACCGTGTTTGATAGTAAAAAGAAAGTGAACTTGTTAGCAGTAACTAGTACACCTTAAACTAACCTTTAGTACTGACCAACATTTGGATTTATCCTTCTTCAAAACAAAGAAGAGTCAATTTCTTATATTAGGCATGTTTTTTTTCTAATTGTAGTTTTGATGGACATCCCAATCATCCATTTACTGATGAATATTAACATGGAGACCCTTGTCTGAATTCCTACCAGAAGATCTGTTTATGCATCATGATATGAGACAAGTCTTGGATACTGGTCATTGAACACATCACATCTTATCAGACCTCCTTGTCTTTGTCAATTCACAGTCAGCTAAAACTAAGTCCGCAGAGCTGTGTGAGAAGTTTGGAAGACAGCATCAAGATTAAAGATACCAAAATTTCTTAGATTTTGAAAGATTATTTTATTTTCTTTATATATATATATGTGTGTGTGTGTGTCCTACAAGTGTGTGGACCTTGTGAATACAGTGTCTATGGAGGGTGACAGATCACTTGGAACTGGAGTTACCAATGGTTATGAGTCACCATGTGGGTGTCGGAAGCTAAATCTTAGTCTTCTCTAAGAGCAGCAAGCCTTTAAACACTTTGCCAGTTCACCAGGTCCTGCCCTAAAGATTCTTGCCTGCTTCTATTTCTGTGACTTCAATGGTTTATTTCCTTCTGACACCAACCTGATTTGCCCAGAAGGCTTGGACTGAAGGCATGAGATGATGACCATCATTTAGTAGACATTTTTTGGGGTAGGAGCTGGAAGAAATTTTATCATTTAGGGAATTACCAGTGATAGATTATTGAGTCAATATTGCTCAAAATTTTTGAGAAAGAAGAAAGTACTCTTCTGTTAATTTGTTCTTGGTGTGGAGGTGAGGCACATCTGGCAAAAGTGACCAGGAGTCCCATGGCTTCCTTCACCAATCTAAGGACCAGAGCTGCAAGACCATGGAGATAAGATTTCCCCGGGGGAAGGTTGGGAGGTTGGGGGTTGGTAAGAAGAGAACTCAACTAAAATATCATGACACAGATATGGGGAGACAGAAGAAAGCTGAACACGTCTCTGCTTACTTGTTACAGGTAAAATGAAATCTACATATTTTATCCACGATAGAGATCTAGACTTGACATTTGTATTTTCGTGAGTTTCAGCAGTTGCCTTATTGAGCCATGGTAGGAAAAATTTTCCTAGATGTAAAAATTGATTTGTGAAATTTGATCTTATGTGTTTATAGGTAAACAATTTAGACTTATAAAATATCTACAAGGTATTAAATTGTGTTATCAACTTATTAAAAGGATGATTGATGAGACAAACTCTTTAAATTTTCAAAAATTATTTGAAATACTGTATTTGACTACCACAGTGTTTTAAGAATTGTTAAGTTTGGGCAATGTCTTTTTTGTTTGTTTGTTTGTTTTTCTTTTTATTTATTTATTTTTTATTTATTTCCATTAAAAAATTTACACTTCTTCCCCTTTTCCCATTTCCCTCCTGCTCCTTCACTCATCCTCTTCCATTACTCTCCCTCCTTAATAGAGGACAGGGAATCCTGCCCTGTGGGAAGTCCAAGGCCTTCCCCCCCCCATCCAGGCCTAGGAAGCTTTGCATCCAAATAGACTAGGGTCCCAAAAAGCCAGTACTTGCAATAGAAACAAGTCCCAGTGCCTTTATGAACGGCTTCTCAGTCAGCCCCCATTGTCAGCCACATTAAGTGAGTTCGGTTTGATCACATGCTCGTTCAGTCCTGGTCCAGCTGGCTTTGGTGAGCTCCCATTAGAACACGCACACTGTCTCAGTGGTTGGACCAACCCCTCCCTGTCCCTGACTTCCTTGCTCATCTTCTCCCTCCTTCTGCCTTTCAACTGGACCTTGGGAGCTCAGTCCGTTGCTCTGATGAGGGTCTCTGTCTCTATCTCCATCTGTCACCAGACGAAGATTCTTTGGTGATATTCGAGATAATCATCAGTGTGATAGTGGGGCAAGTTCAGGCACCCTCTGCTCTGCTGTCCAAGGACCTAGCTGGGGACATCCCCGTGGACACCTGGGATCCCCTCTAGAGCCAAGTCTCTTGCCAACCCGAAAATGGCTCCCTTAATGTAGATATCTTCTTCCCTGCTCCTATATCTGCCCTTCCTCCATCTCCACCCTCCCACTCCCCCAAGCTCTTGCCAGTCTTTCCTTTCTCCCTTCGCTCTCCCCCTCTCCCCTTCCCCCAACCCCACCCCCACCCCCATGCTCTCAACTGGCAATCTTGTTTGCTTCCAATTTCCAGGAGGATCTATATATGTTTTTCTTTGGGTTCACCTTGTTATTTGGCTTCTCTTGGCTTGCAAACTATAGGCCTAATGTCCTTGGTTTATGGCTAGAGTCCACTAATGAGTGAGTACATACCATATTCATCTTTTTGGGTCTGGGTTATCTCACTCAGGATAGTGTTTTCTATTTCCATCCATTTGCATGCAAAATTCAAAATGTCATTATTTTTACCACTGAGTAGTACTCTAATGTATATTATTCCACACTTTCTTTATCCATTCTTCCATTGATGGGCATCTAGGTTGTTTCCAGGTTCTGGCTATTACAAATAATGCTGCTATGAACATAGTTGAACAAATGCTTTTGTAGTATGATTGGGCATCTCTTGGGTATATTCCCAAGACTGGTATTGCTGGATCCTGAGGTAGATTGATTCCCAATTTCCTGAGAAACTGCCACACTGATTTCCAAAGTGGTTGAACAAGTTTGCATTCCCACCAGCAATGGATGAGTGTTCCCGTTACTCCACACCCTCTCCAGCATAGACTATCATTGGTGTTTTTGATTTTAGCCATTCTGACAGGTGTAAGATGGTATCTCAAAGTTGCTTTGATTTGCATTTCCCTAATCACTAAGGAGGTCAAATATGACCTTAAGTGTCTTTTGGCCATTTGAACTTTGTCTTATGAGAATACTCTTTTCAGTTCAGTACCCCATTTTTTAATTGGGTTAGTTAGAATTTTCATGTCCAGTTTCTTGAGTTCTTTATATATTTTGGAGATCAGACCTTTGTCTGATACGGGGATGGTGAAGATCTTCTCCCATTCAGTAGGATGCCTTTTTGTCTTAGTGACAGTGTCCTTTGCTTTACAGACGTTTCTCAGTTACAGGAGGTCCCATTTATTCACTGTTGCTCTTCTTGTCTATTTGTTTGTTTTTCGAGACAGGGTTTCTCTGTAGCTTTGGAGCCCGTCCTGGAACTAGCTCTTGTAGACCAGGTTGGCCTGGAACTCATAGAGATCCGCCTGCCTCTGCCTCCTAAGTGCTGGATTAAAGGCGTGCGCCACCACTACCCAGCTTAAGTTTGGGCTTAAGTTTTGCACAAGGAATATGTTTTTAAAAAAATCAGAGAGGAAAGGTGATCATGCTGTGCTCAGAGAAGTTCCAGAAGAATATCAAGGTAAATTTTAAAAAGAATATTATCTACTGAGTTTCAAGGACACACCTGGACTTATATATTTCTTTAATAGATATCTCAATTAAGAACTTTTTGAGACAGTTTTTCCTTATATACTCCATGCTGACCTGAAACTCACAGAGATCCACTCACCCCTCCTTCCTCTAGAATGCTGAGAAGAAAGACATAACACTATACCTATATATTTGAAGTCTCTTAAATAAAAGGAAAAAATATCAAAAATCAATAAAACTGCTACTTACATATTAATAAATTACATATTAATAAATAATATGAATCAATAACAAAATAAAATCCTATGAAATGTACCAATACAATGAAACTGTCATGTTCTTATTAATAATGGAAAAATTATATGTTCTAATGGGGAATGTGAAATTGCTTTCAGGAATTAAGCAACATGTAAAAACTAGACATTTCATGGCCCTCCCACAGCCAGAATCTCTGGTGATGTATGTGGCTCCTGATACCATTGAAGACCATGCTGATGCCAGGGTTCTGGGCTATTACTTGGAGCCATGGTCACATCTGAGCCTGGGCTGCTATTGGGGACCAAGTCTAGGTCCTTGGTCCTACCACAGTCAGTAACTGTGCTGATGTCTGTGACCCGTGGTGACACCAAAGGACACACAGGTGCCCAGGGGCTGGGCCACAACTGGTGGCCATGTTGGTGTCTGAGAGCTGTGCTGTCTCCAGGGCCAGGCCGATCTGGGTGGCCTGTACTGCCATATGGTGGCATGGTGTCATCAGGGCGCAGGCTTCTGTCACTGGTCATGTCTGGGTCTGTGGTCCAGCACTAGCCATGGTCTGGGTTGATGTCTGTGGCTCCTGCTGCCTCTAGGGGATGTGCAGATGTCTAGGGTCTAGACAGCAACCTGAGACCCTTTTGATGTCTGAGAACCTTGAGGCCACTGGAGCCGTACAGATCAAGGTGACTTATGCTCCCACTGGGGCCATGAAGACTTTCAGGCAGACCTGCTGCTATGGCCCTACCTGGATCTGTGGTCCTGCTACCACTGGTGTTTGTACAACACCGGGTCACAGGAGCAATGCATGTTGAATTCTGGGGGCTGTGCTGAGCAGTCCCCACCTTTCCCTGGCCCTAGGATAGAAGGCTGTGCTCCTAGATGAACACCGCAGCAAGAGATCTGGTCCCACCTCACATGGGAGAGCTGGCTGCAGCACTCAGAGAAATGGCCCCATCCCTCACCAGGGGCATGGGAGAGCTGCTCCTAGGGCATTGACCTAGGAGAGCTGGCTCTGTCCCTCACCTGAGGGGGGCAGTCCCAGTGGCCCAGACCAACCAGCTCAGCTACCACCAAGACACAAATTCTAAGCCTTTGGTTGGCCCACCCTAACATCTTCCCCATTCTACTGAAGTTTGTGAAGGGACAATAACTGCAGGATCTCCATGACTCACGGCAATAGCACGAGACCGAGAGGAGTGAGGGTCCAGTGATGACAGTGTGCCAGAAGCCTTGAACCAGACCACTCACCCGTATTTCTAGCACTTGGAAGGCAGAGAAAGGAAGATCAGGAGTTAAAAATCATCCTCAGCTACATGTTATGTTTAAGGGCAGCCTTTGAGTTACAGGAGAGACTATCTCAATACACACAAAACCCAAAACAAAGCAGAAATAAGCGGGTGTGACACACACCGAAATCCCAATAGTCAGGCGGCATAGGCAGGATGAACTACAAATTTGGTGCTAGGCTGGACTTCATAACTCGCCAGCTGAGTTTCATAGGAACCGATTTCAAAAACCAAACCAAAGTAACACACACACAAATGGTGGAAGTATTTGTTCATAAAGATATATCATGTAAAAATTAACATAGGATTTTTTGGAAAATATCTCGGTAAGTATTGCTGATGCTCTAAGAGGATTAATATTTAGAATATGTGAATTTTGTTGCTTGATCATAAAGACTTCAGTTTCAGAACTACATAGGTACTGTTGGCCCAGTAACTTTTCCCTGGTGGCTGTTTGCTCTGGCCGCGCCACGAGGGGGCGCTCATGTAGCACAGCCACGCAATCAACGGATGACCAGGGTATTCTGATGTCAGGTTCTCAGCAGCATAGCCTCATCTAGATTCTCCCTAGCCCTTTCTGGCGCTGCAAGTTCCATTGAGGACGAACAGTGGTAGGTTTCCTAAATGCCATCCTCTTAGCGGAGAAAGTGGCACGGCGGAGGTGGGGAGGGAGCGCAGGGTGGAGGGGAATCATAATCTGCTTAAGAAAACCACAGTCAGCTTTCTAGGTAGCACAGAACAAGGTGGGGTTTAACTCGGTCACTCACTTAGGGAGAGCTCTCTGTTAGGAATTTGACACTTTTGATACAGCTTGGGTTCTGCGAGTCGATCAGTCCCATTGGGGTCTTTGAGAGTGGCGGAGAAAGTCTGATCTAGGAGAGGCGGCCGGTGACAAGGACATATGGGAGCCAAGTAGCTAAGTCACAGTGGCCAGCGAAGGACATCATCACTAAGACTCCATACTGGGTCTTTGGGGTCTGAAAGCAACAGCTCACTCTTCCGCACTGGGAGGAGTTTCTCATCAGCCCCAAACTGCGCCAAGGTTGGCGCAGACTACAGATCCCAAAATGCACTGTGCGCACCTCTTTCAAACACAAAAAATGCCATTCTTGCCAGGACTTCTGCAACTGTGC